GCCTCTTTAGCTTTTATGGTCTCCGTGAGCTGCCTCAGGAGCCCCGCATCTATTTCTTCCCCTTGATGTGGGGGTCTGTAGCAGACCCCTACCACCAAATCCCTTTCTCCTTGCCCCCCATGTAGCCTAACCCACAATCCTTCTACTTCGTCATCCTTGGATTCCGTCTTGATGAGGGTTGACGTATATTGCTCATTGACATAGAGCGCAACCCCTCCCCCTTTTTTCCCCACCCTGTCCTTTCTGTACAATCTATAACCCTCAATATGTACCGCCCAGTCGTGGGACAAATCCCACCAGGTTTCCGTTAGCCCTACTAAGTCGTAGATGTTTTGTGCAAGCAGGAGCGCTAGTTCATCCTGCTTGTTTCCCATACTCCTAGCATTAGTATATAGGCACTTGAGTCCTGTGACAGGTGCCTTTGCTGTTCAGCTTTATATTTAGCCTTTATATTTCAGCTATGTGTTCCCTTGATTAGGTATCAGCAGCACATTCAAGCCAGAGCACATACTGCATTTTAAATGCCACTCCAAGTTCAAATGTCACTTCCCCCAGTCAGACCCGCACTACAATCACTCCAGTCATGTTATGTTATAACCCGGAGTATGAATAAAGTGTGTTAGGTTCATTACCTCCCCTTTCTTCCAGCTCCCATCTAGTAAAGCTCTTCACCTTCCACCCCTCCCTACAGTACTTATGTCACTTCACCTCATTCTACCTCATGCTTTAAAATCTTTTGCCATGTCCTTAGTGTTCCTTGGGCAATTCTTCCACTTCTGCCTTTTATCCCTGGAACATCTCCCTCAGCTTCCAGACATCAAACCTCTCCCACATCTTCAAATCCATTCTACAGTAAAACCTTTTTCTGAGCTCAAAGAAACCCCTAATTACTGATAAGGAGAGGTGACATTACGCATAGGCCTCTATGAAATGCTATTAGCCAGCTACCCATCCACTATGGCAGGGGGCCCCAAACTGTGGTATGCAAGACATCTCTGGGGGGTATGCAGAAATTGTGTAATGGCAGATTTAATTTTCATTCTAACAAAAATTGGCATTTAAGGGGTTAAAATGTAAAATGTATGCTGGTACGGGGACCTGGGCAGCTGGTAAATCTGGAAGGGGGTATGCAATAAGAAAAAAGTTTGGGAACCTTTGTACTAAGAAAACTATGTTGCTCCTACCTAGGAAAACTTAACTGGCTCGGGAGGTAAGACACAGTGGGTTCCCAGCTATGGAGCAAAAGCTAAACTCAGTTGTCCACTTCAAACAAACACCTCTTTCATTTAACCTTTCCCTGGACAAATCCCTTTCAGGTGAATCAAGTGAGGGAACTAGGAGAATAAAGCAAGAAAGGAAAAAAAAGAAAGAAAGAATGAGGAGAAATGACAAGGAAAATGAGGAAGACGCAATGAAATTGGAGTATGTGTTACAGGATACTTAGAATCCTGACAGAAGCTTTAGAAACATCCAAGACAGACAGGATTTGGCTGGATTTATATATTATTACCTCTGCTGTTACTTTCTGGATATGGTATTACTGGTCTCCCAGGGGTGTGCAGCAGATCAGAATTAATGAAGGGCTTGTGCTTGGGATAGTCTACAAATGAAGCTGCGGAGAGTCCACCTGTGAGTGATGCAGATTTACCACTTCCTTGGAACATACCCTGAAAATGAAGCACAGTTGTTACTTGGAGTCCTCTTTTCACAGACACCAGTTGCAACAAGCAGAGAGAACAAGATGCAATGTTAATTGTAATCAGCCTCTTCAGCGATAATTATATGTCCTATGAAGAGCCCAAGAAGGGCAGCTGAGAAGCTCTCTCACCCTCAAATGCAGTATGTTTCTCTTCATCCCCAACTCCTCCCTATTCCTGATGAAGTGAGCTGCAGCTCACAGCAGCTTGTGCATCTTTCATTTAATCAGTCTATAAGGTGGACCTCTTTCTTACCAATTTTTGATGGATGAACAAAGACAACAACAGTTTCATTTTTATCAGAAGCTACCACTGCAAGAAGGTATGTTACAAATGTCAGATTTTCTTTACCACAATTTCAGCTACAAGTGTCATTTTAAGCCTAACTGAACTTAAAATAGCCTCTGATGTAACCAGACAAACTTATTCTTTGGTTCCATTCCATAATTTCCAATTTCCAGGATGTGGCTGATTTCTATTTACTTGTAGTAACTCATAAGGGAGTCTTCTCCTTAGGGAACATGCATGGTGTGTGGTGAAAATATGAATATACTCTACTGTACTTAAGGTTTCTGCTATTTGTTTGGCATAGAGAATTTAAGTAAAATGCTGGTATTTACATCTCTTAAATGAACACACAAGCTGCTTGCAGGCATTAAAGAAACAAAACAACCAACCCCAAAAAACAAAACAAACAAACAAAACAATACAGCACTTCACATGCTGAGCTCAGCACATGCCCAGAAGAGGCAGCATGTTGGCTGAAGTCGGCTCACCTGACCTGCATAGGTTGGGTGCTTTAGTTGGGTTTTTTTGGCACTTTTATCTAATAGCTGATTCAATTAGATAAAAGCGCCAAAAAGCTCCATTGAACAGCCTCATCTATACAGACGCTGCAGAGCCAAGTTGAAGCAACGAGCTGCTTCTTCTGGTAAAACATGTTTTTTTGGTTTTTGTTGTTTAATGTCTGCAAGCAGCCTATTGTTTCAGTTGTTACTGCTGCACCCATCATTAAGCAATAACAAAATAAATGCATGCAACTGGATATCAGAAAGGTGGCCTTTTTTTAACCTCCTATAGTTTTCCACTAAACATTTATTTTAGAAATAATGTGACAATTTGAAAAACCTGCCAGTTCTAGTGCTATCTTAGATTTGCTACCACTAATGTTTGTTTGTTTTTTAAGGGGGGAAACATTTAGGTCTTCAATTAAGTGCAGAGCTAGTCAAACTTGTATCACACAGCATCATATAGAGCCACTTAAAGTGCTACAAGGAAGAATTTCAGGAGGTGAGAAAGGAAGAAAAGCAAATCCTCAGGTGATTGCAGTCTCAATCATAACCAATCTCACTGTAAAAGAAATGTGGTTCATCAGTATCAGAAAGCACTGAGATTAAGAAATGGTGATTAAAGTCAGAGCTACTTTAAGATAGTGTGTAAGTACAATGTACAGAATTGTGAAATTGAACTACGAGTCATACAGACAACTTGGATCCTCACCTCTCCCTGCCCCAATATTTATTAATAGCAGAAACAGGACTGATCTCAGAAGAAAAGCATATAAAAGTCTGTAAGTGCCACTGGAATATATGCCTTTGGGAATATATTCAGCAGTCCAGCCAGCACACAGGGATTACATACAGACACATTAACATCCAGCATATTAGTATTCAGTTAAACATGTTCGCAAACAGGAAACCTGGAACAAAGTATAAATAAAGAATATAGTAGATGACTAAATGCCATCGAACCAACAGCATCCATTAGCTTTTTTTTCCCCTCCTTTTTAGCCAGTCTATTTAAACTCAAGAACACTATGTAATAAAGCAAAATAAATATTTGCCACCCTCAGTCTTAGCTGTGTGTTGTTTAGGCAATTTTGGCCACTGGCTACATACACTAAATCTGAATGTTGCAAAGCAGAGTCAATATAGACACCTGCTTGGGATCAATGTTGACAAACATCCTGCCAAGTATTAACCATGGTATAGCTTAGACAAACATTCCTTGCCACACTCTAAATAGCTACACTCCATGCTGCCAAATAGGGTTTACTTATGAATGTTTCCTATGATACTCTACAAGTCAACAGGATTGGGCTGTTCCAGACGTTTTGCAATTTACTGACAAATAGCAAATTGGATTTTGAATTAAAAGGTTCAAGATACAGCTGGTAAAACAGCTAAAATACACAACTGACCACCATACCCACACAACCCAGAAAAACTATATCATCATGATAGCTTGGCCCTGCCTCTTACATGAGATTTGCTTAGTTCTTTTAGGCCTGAATCCTGATTTTGGAACTTATTACAGAAGTCAGCCCCTTTATACATATTTCAGGATATTTCAACCCAAGGGTACATGGATGCACAGGAACATTTATTGGGAGGGAAGGGGGGTGGGGGTACTCTATCCAAATCTATCTTCTGCCTCTCAGCTACCCTGCTAGAAGTTTACCAAATACCCCACTCTAAGAAATTGTTTTAGAGTTACGATCTAAAACAGAACATTCCCTGAAACTAACGCAATTCTCACTCAGGAGCAACTGAAATTAAAAAAAAATAAAAAAAATCAAGATGTACTCATATAAACAAGGGAGAAAACATACATACACTGATGCACTGGTTTTATCTAGGCCAGGGGCGGGCAATTATTTTGAGCAGAGGGCCGCTTACCAAGTTTTGGCAGGCTGTCAAGGTAGCCCCGCCCCTTGACAGGTGCCCTGCCCCCTGGTCACCATCTTGGGACCAACGTCCCAATGTCTTGAGACCAGTGTCCCAGGGCCAGCATTGGTGGGGCCCAAAGTGGAGCACAGCCTGGCAGGAGTCTGCACCAGCAGGGAGGGGGCAGCTGGACCAGCTCCACAGAGCCTTTGCCACCTTGTTCTGGGCCCCACTGGCACTGGCCCTGGGACACTGGTGCGGGCCCTGTGCTCCCATTGGCTCCCTGCCTGCTCACCCCCAGCCCCGCGGTACAGGCCAGGGGCAGCACACAGCCCCGAGCCTCTGCTCACCAGCAGGGAAGAAGCTGGTGCTGAGCACGGGGAAAAGTGGCCCCTCACCTGCCCCATGGCCGCATTGCAGGTGGTGCTGAGTGTGGGGGAAGGGGGAGAAGCAGCCCCTCCCCGCCCCACGCTCGGCGCCCCGTGCTGCAGCTGCTTGCAGCCTGCCTGAGGCTTCCTGTGCCTGCTCTGGACAGCCCTGCATGGGCTGTGAGCGCTTGCAACACAGGGCACTGGCCATGGGGTGGGCGAGGGGCCGCTTTTCTCCGCACAGGGAAGAAGCCCAGGGAAAAGCTGAGTACAGGGGGGAAGCAGCCCCTACCCTGCCCGGTGCCCCACGCTGTAGGCGCTCGCA